TACAGTACCTTAACTTCCAACTAGAGTTAAATGTGGGTGGTACTTTGAATTTGTCTGGACTAATTAAGTAAATCAACATGCCATCGATCATTCTAAATGCTGGTATTCATTAAGGCATTAACATAAAGTTGTTCTCTGTAGCATTCCCATGGACAGATGTACCCCTCATAAAATCACTAGCTTATGGCATTTTAATTGTCTCTTGGTTGAGAGTTGTAGCACAGAGACTAGGATCAGGACCAGCTGTGCCCCCCAAAAGACCAGGCCAACCCTCCAAATCAGACCCGACCCACATCCCTCCCCAGTCTGAACCCCCTGAACTGAACCAGACCCACATCCCTCCCCAGACCAAACTGGATCCGTCCCGCATTCCTCCTTAGTTTGAATCCTACAAACTGGACCAGACCCACATCCCTCCCCAGACGAAGCCCCCTGAACAGAACCAGACCCACATCCCTCCCAAGCCCAAAATGAACCAAACCCAAATCCCTCCCCAGACCAAACTGGACCAGACCCATATCCCTCCCTAGACCAGGGGTGCTGGTGGGGGGATGGGGCAGGGGACAAACTTGTTTTTCACATGCTCATTACTTTGCAAAACTTTCACTTAGTCAGTAGGCACCTGCTAAGCCCAGCCATTTCAGTGCATGTTTCTTAACACGGGAGGTTAGGCAGGGGTGGTGTAAACTCCCCCAGAAGTAACATGAGAGAGACTGTAAATTGTTCACTGAATCACAAAAGCAAAAAACAAACCTGACTTGACTCTGAGAACATGGAAAATCAATACAGTATTAAGGTCTCTCTTCTGTATTTGCTGCAAGCTGCTACATTCATGCTTAAAAACACTATGGAAGAAAAATATTGGTATCATCTTAGACCTGTGTGAGCTATTTAGAACAGTTTATCTGATGAGCTAGTCCATTTTTTGGTTCACAAGCAAATTCTAGCTTTTTTCATTTCTAATTGAATAGTCTATATGAACATATTTTAGCATATGGATTTGAACTGTACTTGTGCCATATCTGCCGAGACTAGTCATTTTTGTCACATGGTATTGTTTCTGTTCCCTGATTGGATGAATGCAGAAAACAGGGATTTCATTACACCCATCCTGGTTTCTTGCTTCTCTCAGGGCTGGTCTACACTGGGGGGGAGGGTCGATGGAAGAGACACAACTTCAGCTACAGGAATAGCGTAGCTGAAGTCGACGTATCTTATTTCTACTTACCTCAGGTCCTCATGGCGCGGGATCAACAGCCACGGCTTCCTCGTCAACTCCGCTACCGCCGCTCGCCCTGGTTGAGTTCCGGAGTCGACGGGAGCACGTTCGGGAATCGATATATCGCATCTAGACGAGACGCAATATATCGATCCCCGATAGATCGATTACTACCCGCCGATTCGGCGGGTAGTCTGGACGTACCCTTAGAGAGAGGGTCAGGGCAGTTTGTGGAGCTGGGAGGAACTAGGCTGACAGGATTAGGGAATTTTTAGAATATTTTTAATCCTTTCTTTACCAAGCCCCTTGAGTCAGGCCTTGCCTGACACATAATTGTTAAATAAAGAAATAAATAAAATTACCTGTTGTATAATTAGTTCTGGGATCCAGTTTAAGAGTAATTGCATATTGGCATTTACATGCATGGTCCCAAGCCGTGCAGATTGCAGCAATATCCTTATCTGGTTTATTTAATTGCCTCTGATTAGAGTTTTTGCGTAGTCCTGCAAAGGGTAAAATCCGATGTCCTGTTAATATTGTTTAAATGTGTTAATGCAAAAGTTTTGGTTTAGGGTTTTGGCAATACTATTCAGTGACAATGTATTGTTCAGACACTTGATCTTGTTCCATTTACTTCACTGTTTCACCTATCTACCGAGTGCATTTACTGAGTTCCTGTTTTTTGTCATGTGCCTATTCAGCACAGTCAAAAAGACGCACGTAGGCCAGGAGGCAACCTTAACATGGGCATTATCAGCATAGTTTCATTGTCATAACCTGGCTTGCCTACAAATGGCAGGACATAGTGACTTACCTCAAAGAAACAACACCTTCACCACCACTCCTCCTCCCTCTTGCTCTGGACAAACTTTGAAAAGGAAGAAGTCTATTACTTCCTCATCTAGCCAAAACAAAATTTGACACTTAGGTTTGTTTACAAATATATTAGTACAAATAAACCCTACTAGTTAAACAAAATTAATAGTCAACATGATGGATTGAAATTCAGCTTCTAGTTCATCTGATTGAATAATTTTTCCTATAATTGGTTCAGCTCTAGCTTATATCATGGTTCTCAGGGGAGGAAGACAAGGGGAAAAAAATCTTACCTGTACAGGTCAAGGAAACTGTACTAGATTATTGCTATCAACTGTGTTGTAACTAACGTGGTTGTATTGTGATGTGGATAGATAGGATCTGTTACCTCTGTAGTTCCCCTTAAAAACTCTATCAACTGCTACTGTTCAAATCCAGTTTAGTCTGCAGTATGCTCAGAGCTCCAACTTGCCTTTTTGCAAACTAATAGTTGCTTATACATCAATCCTTTTAAGAATGGTTATAAAAATTTAAAAAAAAAAGTTAAATTTAAGTTTAAAGGGCCACCATTTTAGGTTGATGGGCAAGAAGTTTAAAATGAACATAGGCAAACAGTTTTCCAAATCCTAAAATAAAAAGCTATCTCCTCTCCAAACTAAGGACTGTAACATGCATGCATACAGTAGATATTGAATCTGAATTCCTCTTCTAGATAACTTAATAAATCAAGACCCATGAAGTTCTCTCTGGATACATCTACACTACAAATACAATTGTGCTGGGGGACTAGGTTGGGTCATGACTATTTTTGGGTGCATTTAAATTGTGCCTTGGTTCCGTCTACGGTACAGGAGCAAACCATGATTGAATTATGTCCCTTGAACTATGATATAGCCTTGACAAATACAACATTTCTGGTTTTTCCATTTCCAAGATTTTAGCAGAGTTCAAGTACACTGATAATTCATTGTTGCTTTGCACCTTGTGTGATCATTTACACTCATGCCAGATGGGTGCAAACTTACCATTCTGACCTTGTAGAGTTTTACACCCACTTTGTAATCCCTTTGCCCTAATGTAAATGACTATACAAATTTCAGTACAATGCTGATTTGGGACATTGCCAGAATTGCACTGAAAATCAGTGTGTATATGAATGACTTGTACAATTAGTGCTCTCCAGAAACTGCAAATGCAACAGAGGTCTGGATCTTCAGAGGGAGAAGGAGTGAAACCATTCCTAGAGCTTGTGCATATAATATACAAATTATCTGAGTTTTAATTGACTGTATATAAAGACTTATTAGATAATGATTTTTATAACTTGTCTTCAGTAAACCAGGTAACTAGTGACTTTTGTATGTTCAAGGGATACTGCTTTGGAGCCTTCTAAGTAGTTTTTGGAATACACACTAGTCTGTATTAGTGCAAATAATAAACAAGCCTCCTACTGTGAGGGAAAAGAAGGTTTTACAGTTGGAACAACTAAGACCTCAAAAGAGAGTAAGGGTGATGTAGTAGAGCATTATTAACGTCCGAAAAATCTGAGCCCTTCAAATATGCAAGTAGGATGATTCATTTCAAATATACAAGAGGGAAAAAAAAAGGTGATCAGTTACTCCATAAATTATCCTGGACCAAGTTATCACTATCAAGTTGTATTCAATGACGCATCTATTTTATAACCTCTGTGCTCCACTCCTACAAATAAAGCTTCATAGGAAAGCAATGTTGTCTCATGGATAGAGCTCTGGGTTGGAACTCAGACCTGCTTTTTATTCCTGGCTTGCCATTGGCCTGCTTGGTGACCTTGGAGCACTTGCCTTCTTTGTGCCTCAGTTTCTCTGTCTGTAAAATGGGATTGATGATACTGGTATCCTTTGTAAACCATTTTGAGATCTACAAATAAAAACTGCTCTATAAAATCTAGGTAATATTTAATACAGAACCATTCAAATGCAGTTATGCTTTACTATAAGCTGTAACTGAGTGACTCTTGGTAGAAAATCATATTTGGAAAAACTAAAAACCCAATTCCAGCTTTTGAGAAGTTAGCAAATATTACTAATCTTTTTTTTTCTCTGTGAAAAATGCCAATTATGCCTAAAGTAAACCAATAAAAATTTAAAGTAACTTGGACTACTGTATTTCATAGTTAGCTATAGGTGTGAAATCTGTTTTCAAATCACTTCTCCTCCTCCTCATCATGTGTGCATACATGCATCTCTGCTTTTGATGGATAATTGGCTATTGTGTGTACAAGTGCATCAACTATCCTTGTGAAGATGTTATGGTGTACTCTGGGCCGGCTCCAGGCACCAGCATAGCAAGCAGGTGCCTGGGGCGGCCAATGAAGAGGGGGGGCGGCACGTCCGGTCATTTGGCGGCGGGGCCGTCACTCCCTCTCGGAGCAAAGGACCTGCTGCCGTAGAATGAAATGGCGGTAGAGCTGCCGCCGATCGCGGCTTTTTTTTTTTTTTTTTTTTTTTTTGGCGCTGCTTGGGGCGGCAAAAACGCTAGAGCCGGCCCTGGGTGTACTTGCCTTAATCAGAAGTACTGCACTCTAAATCCAATTGTATGAGTGTTGTGATAGTTTGATGTCTTAAAACCGGGTTCAGAGTCAGTTAAGAGGCAAATAACTGAACTTGGACTTAGTCTAAGTCTTAGTGGAGTTTTACCTACATCATAAAATAACCATATAACTCAGCACAATTGTCATTCTCTCTGCTTCTGGCGGGAATGGTAGGGGTACTGAACTTGAGGTTTGAGGCTTATTGGCAAAGCCATGTGAAGTTTTCACAAAACATCCACTACATATGCCTGACTTTCTCTAATGTTAGAGAGAGAGACCGTTACAACTACACTGCATTTAGATAATGTTAACGTGGAAGTGTAGCAGAGAATTTTTATGCTCATGAAAGTGGTCTAACTTTTTTTTATGATTATTATTTTTTGTCTCCTTTAGGTTATTTTTGTTTAGAAATCATGAACTGGCACTTCCTTCTCCTTTTCACCGCTGTGACTTTAACATCTGTGTGGTCCCAGTTCAATCCTTTATCTCTTGAGGAACTAGGCTCTGACATTGGAATCCAAGTTTTCAATCAGATAGTTAAAGCTAGACCTCAGGAGAATATTGTGGTTTCGCCACATGGGATTGCATCTGTACTGGGAATACTTCAGCTGGGTGCTGATGGCAAGACAAAGAAGCAGCTGACAACTGTGATGAGATACAGCGTAAATGGTCAGTTTTTAATCTGTTATTATGAATCACTTAATAAAAAACCTGCATAAACTTTTAAGGCTGGAAGGACAATATATTTTAATGGGAGGTTTTTCAAATTGTGCTACATTGTTTACTAAAACTGGCTTGTGATGCAAAGTATGGTCAGCACTAAGAGAGCCATACCTCATAAAAATGTCCCCTACAATATAGGCTACCAGATAAACATGGACCCAGTTTAGCTAGAAAATTCAAATTTCATCACTTCTCACCGACATTGGTGCCATGCTTTGGGGTGACCTATAAACTATTTATGTGGAGGGTGTAGAAAGATATAGGGATAATTTGGATCTCTCGATCTCAGAAAATCAGTTTCTGCCATTCCAAGCACTCCTCCAACAACAATACAATCTACTTGGTCCAGCTACATGGCATTACCTGCAGCTTAAGCATCTCTTGAAACTCATTTGATCCTGATGTGCTTGGGAGCACCAGAGACTCCAGAATTGGTGATGTGTAGAGAGCTCTCTAGGTTCACCTGAACATCTGTAGCCTGTTATGACTTCCTGACCCAAAAGATCCTCCCAAATTTAGATTGCCTGTACCATGACTGGAACTAAGATTGGTGTGTATTACTGACCCCTGACCAGTGGGGAAGTGGCTGGCAAACCATTTAAAAATTCTACTATTGATCTACGATTAAGACTGATCCAGCAGAAAATTATTTCTTCTTAGAGTGCTTGCTCATGTCGATTCCATTCTAGGTGTGTGCGTGCCCACAAGCACAGTTGTCGGAGACTTTTGCCTTAGCAGTATCCATAGGGCTGGCTGTGGTGCCCCCTTGCGTGCCACGCCCATGCATCGGTATATTAGGCACTGCCAACCCTATGATCTCTTAGTTCCTTCTTACTGCCTGAGAGGTTGGAGTGCCTCGTCTTGCCATTCTCAAGAGCGTTAGCAGTTCTTCATAGACCTTTGTTCTATCTAATCTGTACATCAGTGGTCACCAACCAGTCGATCACGATCGACTGGTCGATCCTAGAGGATCTCCCAGACGGCCAGATTCCTTAAGGGCCTTGAGCACCTCTACCTGCATGTCAAGGACCCTGTTCCTCTGTGGGACTTGAACCTGGTGCTGTCGTGGCTCACGGGTCCTCCTTTTGAGCCATTGGCTTCCTGTTCTCTCCTTCTCCTGTCCTGGAAGGTTGCATTCCTGGTCACAGTGACTTCAGCCCGTCGAGTCTCGGAGATTCAGGTGCTCACCTCGGAACCACCCTATATGGACTTGTACAAGGACAAGATCCAGTTAAGACCACATCCGGCTTTTCTGCCCAAGGTGGTCTGTTTCATTCAAGCCAGGACATTTACTTACCGGTCTTCTTTTCAAAGCCACATAAGTCTGAGGAGGAGCGTAGACTGCATGCCTTGGACGTTAGGAGGGCTCTAGCCTTCTACATCAACAGGACCAAGCCATTCCGTAAGTCTATGCAGTTGTTCGTCGCAGTGGCTGACAGGATGAAAGGACACCCTGTATCCGCCCAAAGAATTTCTTCTTGGATCACCGCCTGCATTCGCTTCTGCTATGATCAAGTGAAGGTGCCGCCCCTGGCGATTGTCACTACCCACTTGTCCAGGGCGCAGGCCTCTTTGGCGGCTTTTCTGGCCCAGGTGCCTATCCAGAACGTCTGCAGGGCGGCCACCTGGTCATCCATACATATGTTTACTTCCCACTATGTACTTAACCAGCAAGCCCGGGATGATGCTGGCTTCAGTAGGGCAGTACTGCAAGTCGTGAAACTGTGAACTCCGAGCCTACCTCTGTAGATACTGCTTTTGAGCCACCTAGAATGGAATGGACATGAGCAAGCACTCGAAGGGGAAAAAAAAAACGGCTACCTATCTTTCGTAACTATTGTTCTTCGAGATGTGTTGCTCGTGTCCATTCCATTACACGCCCTCCTACCCCTCTGTCAGAGTTACTGGCAAGAAGGAACTGAGAGGGTGTAGGGTCGGCATGAGCACAGCACTCAAGGGGGCGCCACAGCTGACCCTATGGATACTGCTAAGGTAAAAGTCTCCAACAACTGTGGGCGCTCACACACCTAGAATGGAATGGACATGAGCAACACATCTTGAAGAACAAGAGATACAAAAGGTAAATACCTGTTTGTTGTTGTTGTTCATACTGGTCCCTGTGTAGGTTACAGTGTGTGGCCTTGCCAAAATATATTTCTGCTGGAGATTTGGGTCTCCTAGAGCCACACTGGCTCATATGTTTTGGGACTGTCCCAGTATACTGACCTTGTTGGCATTTTCAGCCGAGGGGCCAAGAAATGAATGAGACTAAACTGTCCTCTTAGCTTTACAGATAATCTCTGCAGCACAAAGTTGAGGTCCAGTGCCAGCATAGTATGGGTAGATTGCAATGCCTCTATTCCTGTTGTACTAAAACAGCCTTTAATTCAAGATTTCAGAAATTATTGGGCAATAAAATATTTTTATATTTAGTTTCTTATAGGCCCCCGAGCCCATTTAGTTGGAGGGCTCTCTTTTGGATCTTTTGATGCGTTTTTGGCTTTGCTTCAGTTTCTTCTGTCAAGATCTCAGACTCTCTAGCCTTTCCCGGGCCTTTTTTCTATTCAAACACCCCTTTTTCAGTCTCTATTCCTGACATTGGCATGAATCCCTATTATTCCTCTACCAGTGCCTTTCCTCTACAGTAGGGTGAGAATACTTGCTGCTTCTTAGCATGCCAGTGAGGCTTAACAACAGCACAGAATGCTGGCACTTAAAGAATCTTAAAGGATCTGTGTTTATGAAATGTGAAACCTTCCAAAAGGTGAGTACATTTTCAGACCTATAAAGAATGAGCGATGTTGATGTTTCCTATAACACACTGTCCCATCTTTAATTGCTTTGCTGTACAGTTTTCTGTTTAGGGTACAGCTAAATGATTTATTGTTGCTTAGTAAAATATCCAAATGTTGAAGATTCAAATCCTTTTATGGAATAATCTTGACTTTAAAAGCATCTGAGTTTTCTAAACATAGCTATCTGCAAGAATTTTGAAGCATTAAAACTAAGTGAATTTATTTGGTTTGAACTAGTCAGTCTAACAATCCTAGACACATGAGACAGGTTCTCAAACTTTTCTGTAGTGACCCATATCTTAATATCAAGTTTCTCATGGACCACCACCTCTTTTTATGTTTGCATGGACCTCCTCTTCTCTTGTTCATGATTGCCTAATAACCCTGTGACAGCTACAAAAGTTGCTTACTTGGAAAGGTAACTCTAGGGAAATATTTAAAGCATTTCTAGCTATCCTTTAATGCAATTTAGCAGCTGGAAGCAAGGAGGAGAGCCAGTACCATGTGAGCAGCCAGCTCTCCCTAGACCACCAACAAATGTTCAGTGGACGACTAGTGGGCCACAGACTAGCTTGAAAACATCTGTTATGGTATGCTCACCAAAAGAATATGCCCATAATATTGAAGACGGTGAACACACGGACATCATGTGATCTCTCTTACTAAAGGATTCACAGTAATTTAACCAGTAGGCCCAACTATTGAGGACTTCTCCTACATGGAGCCGAAATGGTCGTTTTTGAATCTTTTGCTTTCTTTTTTTCCCTTCTCAGCTCCTTTTTTGTCTTGTTTAGAAGCATTAATGACAGGGAGAACTGAGGTGTGACAAATGTAGTAGTTTTCCTGTGCTGCTCTAAGGGCATGGCTACACTTTCATATACTAGAGACTTTTATGGAGCATATTGCAACCTATTAATAGTTGATATCCTTGGATAAATACTCTACTTCCAATTAGATGCTGGAGTCTAATACTGAATTTCCTTACTAATGTAGCCTAGTCTTCAGATTTAATTTTAGTTTGTTCCAGAAACTTTCCAAAGGTGTCTCTCTCTTTTGGTTAGCACACAGTTTCCAGAAAACTTTTTTATATCCCACCCTATTCCTTACTGAATGGAATGGAGGGATCAAAAATGACAACCTTAGTTTTTCAGTTTATGGTCTTAGTCCCGCCTTCCCCCATGACTTCTGCCTCTTGGGAACTACCCTTATTCCTGTGCCTATGGTCCTTCTACTCTGAGTGGCCAGAATGAATATCCTTATTCAGTTGTAGCTGCTGGGAAGATGAGGACTCACACCCACAAAATAACATTGTAGTATCGTGTTAAGTTGCAGTGCTGTAAACATGTCAACATAGGGTCAGGATATTGCAGCCTAATTTATGTTGTGGCTCTCTAGTGTAATGGATGACAGTTTATCTAGATTGTTTGTTTGTACCTATTCTAGAATAAACATTTTAACTATATTGTCCATGCCAGAAAGTTATTGATTAATATACTACACCAGGACTTGGATGTACAGTACAAGGATTAGACAAAGAGCCAAATTCTTCACTGTAAAGTAGTGTCCTTCAGATGAGTCAGAGATCCTGTTGCTCAGATGTGTTGAAGAATGTCTGTCAATGCCATTGGTATTCTTTCTTTACCCCATCACGTTAAAGTGTGTGTGTGTGTGTGTGTGTGTGTGTGTTTGGATGTCAGTAATTATTGATACAAGTTAACTCCTTTAAAACTTCTTTCATTTTCCTTTCTAAATAAAATTTGCTGTTATTTCTAACTAGGAGTCGGTAAAGTATTAAAGAAGATAAACAAGGCCATAGTCTCAAAGAAGAATAAAGACATTGTGACAGTTGCTAATGCAGTGTTTGCAAAGAGTGGCTTTAAAATGGAAGTGCCTTTTGTTACAAGAAACAAAGAGGTGTTTCAGTGCAGTGTCAAGACTGTGGATTTCGAGGACCAAAATGCAGCATGCAATTCCATTAACCAGTGGGTGAAAAATGAAACAAGGGGTAGGTATTGTTGAATTTTTTGTGTAACTGAGTTAAACACTTATAGACACTAAAGTTGAGAGAGGGGTGTAAAGTTTTTAAAAAGTGGTGGGAAGACACTGCATCATCTCATCTTAAAAAAAAAAAAATATATATATATATATATATATACGCAACGGATAAATTAACTTGGGTGCACCTTGTCTAACTACTTGGAGATGCATGGTATCTATTGTCCTTTAAGAGACACTTGCATGAAGCTAATTCCAGTGATGTTATTTTCATAAACAAAGAAAAACTGTAAAACCAAACACTCCCACTATTCAAAATTATCCACATATTGCTGAGGCCAGAGTTCAGGTTTTGCATTACAGCATAATTAGCTTGTATTGCATCTTGGTATCTGTTAGGAGATGAAAGTGACATCCTGGCGATGCTTGCAGTGTCATTGATTGTGGTGAAGGCAATGTATGGGTGGCAACAAGTGCTGGAGATTTTTCCTTTTAACTTTTCATTTCCAGGCTGTGGCTGATTCAGCCTTAATTGTTTACTAAACTAAACACCACAAACATTGCTAAATAAGGCCCTGCCTGAGCACAGCTCTTAGATGGGTTCTAGAGTGTTCCCTCACTAGTGAAGACTAAGGTCCTAATACAGCTGCCACTGTACTCAGTAAAATGACTCCACTGATGTCAGCGGGCCCTGAAATGAGCAGAGCCATAATTCTTCAGGCTGGAGTTAGCAGCCATCTTTGCTCCAATTCAGAATGAATGCTACCTAGTGAATTACAAAGTACATTGGCTCTTTTGTTTCATCATGACCAGCTGGCTTACATTGCAACAGAAAAAGCTCAATTTCCCCCCTTCCTTTTTTATTTTATTTTCAGGTATGATTGATAATCTCTTATCTCCAGACATTATTGATGGTGCTTTGACCAGGCTAGTGCTGGTAAATGCGGTGTATTTCAAGGGTTTATGGAAATCACGTTTTCAACCTGAAAATACAAAGAAACGCACATTTAATGGAGCTGATGGGAAGACTTACCAAGTACCTATGCTGGCCCAGTTGTCTCTGTTCCGCTGTGGTAAGCTCAAGAGCTAGTTTCTTGTAAATGAAACTCAAAACTTTTTGCACTGTACTCCTTTCAAAACGTAGGCAAAGACGGTTAATGTGTGGATTGTGGGGGGGGATACATAGCATTCCTGTTTATGAGTAGATATTTGTGTTGAAAGGTACTGTTAAGTGGGAAAACTTTTCGAACTCGTATCTAATCTGGATGAAACATTGAGAACTGTGAATAGTCAGCACCTCTGGAAATCGGGTGACTTTTATTTAGGTGCATTGTTTTAGATGCTCCTGTTCAAAACCTTTGGCCAAATAGGTAAGAAGAAATAAAATGTGTTCTGTCCTTAATCAAAAACCTATCTAAAGTAGAAAAACTTAGAATTACTTTGTTTTTATATTGTATTTTACCCATATATTGTGGGAAAGAATATGCTTTAAAAATCAGCAAATAAAAATTAAAATACAGAGTTCTTTCTTTAATAGCAGGCCATAAGAAGTGTACACAAAGTATGCTTAAATTCACTTTAGATTCTGAAGTAGTAGACGGCTGGAAACAGTTTTGCAGACAATAACCATTGAATCAAGGGGCTGAGTAGCTCAGGGTTAGTATACTAGTTGTTTACCTCTGGAGTCCAGCATTTAAATTCTGAATTGAGTTGCAAGTGAAAAGGAGTTCACTGGGTTCAGCCTAATTTCTATTTGTGCCTGTCACAAAACCAGAACAGAAGTCCACGTGACTGGCAGCCTCTACTCAAGAGTTCAGTACTGAAATGGGTTTTGCTGGTCAGGCTCACAATGCATTGGCAGCATTTTTAGAAGAGTGTGTGCATGTTTTCTGCCTGTGTTCTAAGATTAGACAAGTGCTATTTGTAACTTGCTTTCATATGCACTAAACACCATTACAAGGAATAAATTTAGAAATAAATCTGAAAAAAATGATGTTACTGGTAAAGGAATGTACCACCAGCTAGCCAAGAGGGCAAACATAAATTTATTGCCTCAATTTTTTCTGTTGTAAGTGATCAGTGTTAAAAATGTGCTAGTTTAGCCAACATAGGAGCTTACAAATCGATCACTCTGTGGTTTAAAAAATATGAAACTATTTTGTACCTTGGCCATGTCCTGAAAATCTTTACACATTAAAGCAAAAATTAAATGTTTTAGACAGATAAAACTTGAGGGATGTGAATGAAAATCACGTATTGAAATATTTAGGATCTATACTTCAGCAAAGGACCACACATCATGGTCAGGTCTTGCTTACCATTCTTATATTGCCCTAAAATTCATAGGGTCTGAATCTGGTGTAAATAGGGAGTAACTCTTTTTTATTACATTGTCATAACTGTGATTGGAACCAAGGCCATTATTTTCAAGGCCTTTAGATGGAAAGTATTAAGTTTCCTGTTGTGGAATTGAAACTCCTATTTCAGGTTAGGTATCTTAATACAGTTGAATGCACAGGTTCTCAGATTTCTTAGTAGTGTGAGAAGCATGTTAGAGCAAAAACATCTTGTAGACACCTCCACTCCCATTTGTAGCTCTGAAGATCACAGCATTCTATGGCAACTACAGCAACTGTTTGCATGGAAACGTCGTATGGGAAAGTAAAGTGTGTGTTGCTGTTTTTAAATGTAATTTAGCCATTGTGAATGAGGGAACCTGGCAACATGTAATCACCAGACTGTCTGCGCACCACTAGTTTGAGAACTGCAAGCCTAATGTAAAGGAGCTAATCAGACAGAAAACATTTTCTTTAGTTGAACTGGAAAAGGAGGTGAGCTGGAAAAAGAGGTAAGCTAACGGCTCCCTTCTACCATCTCTGTAATGAGCTGATTTCAGGCAAGCAGTCTTAAGGCTGCAGGGCTCTGCTAACAAGGTTAATTTTCTGGAACAGAAATCCCTCATCAATTTGGGCTGGCAGATGTGGATTTTGATGCAGAGTGGGAAGTGTAGTGAGATGTTGCTGCTGTGTAGTGACTCTGTTCCAAATATCAATCTCTGGCACCTTGTGATCTGTGCAGATAGATCAGCTCTTCTCATCTGAGAGACTCCTTTAAGTCTGGTTTAATCATAGAATATCAGGGTTGGAAGGGACCTCAAGAGGTCATCTAATCCAACCCCCTGCTCAAAGCAGGACCAATCCCCAGACAGATTTTTACCCCAGTTCCCTAAATGGCCCCCTCAAGGATTGAATTCACAACCCTGGGTTTAGCAGGCCAATGCTCAAATTAATGAAACTTGTTCTTTTGGCACTTGTCTAAAAAGCCATGATATTAACTGAAAAAAGGATGGAGTGGGAAGAGGGACCCTATTCAATTAGGGTAGCCAGCTGCCTGGTTTTTGACTGGAAAGTCCAGTTGAAAAAGGGACTTGACTGGGTGTCCAGTCAGCAGTACTGCCTGGCCACCCAAAGTCCAGTTACAGAGGGTGGGGGAGGCACTGGGTCATTACCTGTGCCAACCCCTGCTCAGCTGGGGCTGCCTCCGACCTGCATCGGATGGCTGCAGTTCCCAGCCCCGCCTCTGCGAGTCCCTCCTGATCTGGGAAGAGGGAGCAGGAGGTAAGGGGGGGGGGGAAAGCAGCAAATGATGGGGAGATGTGGGAAGAAGAGTGAATGCGGGAGAGCCTTGGGGAGAAGAGGTGGGGCGGGGGAGGTTCTGGCACTCCTACTGGTGTGTCTGGTTTTTAAATATTACAAAGTTAGCAGCCCTATAAAGGGACTGTCCACTCAAGACCATGTTAAAACAGAATCTAAATGCCTAGACCATAACACTGAGGGAAGAGTTTCCTTCATAGTCTTACAAATAAGTGCTTTTCAGCTAGATATATAGGCAGCATGCTGTCCACCCAGCTGATGATAGTAAGAATTCTAGTTCATAAGGGATTCCCCGTCACAAAAAATAATCTCTTTGATTAGGAAACAAACCTATTAGAGTCTATCAGCCTCCACTGTGTCTCCAGAAAAGTAAAGAAAATAATTAGCTTTCAAAATAAAATGCTAGTAATTAGACATAAGAGAGACTCTCAGATTGCTAATGGATCTTCAAGTTGCAATGCAATCCTGTGACATGGGACATTTGTAGATAAACTGCTAGCTGAAATCCTCCATGACTGACACCTGGGATGTTTGTTAGAGCACCAATTAGTGTCTTGATAGTTAAAGGGGGCTTTTGAGAATTTTAGCATGAGCTGAGCTGGCTGGAGCCTATAATGGTGTGTAATGCTTTACCAGCAATTGGAGCTATTTGTGCAAATCTCTTTACTCTTGAATAAATTTCAGGGTGTCTTTTTATTGCTTCCTTTTTGTGAAAAGAGACATTATTGTCAAACAAGCTTGTGATTAACTTAATTGGTTAACTTCTTCCTTTTTTTCTGTTAACAATAAAATAAGGAAGACTTTCGTCCATTTCCCAGAGAAATGGTGTCCTGGAACATATAAAATGGCTTTCAGCTCCCTTTGCCTTTTTGACCACTTATTTTCTTTTTACTCTGTCTCCATATATAATTTTTATTGATCAAGATCCATTAAAGTAGCTAGATTTTTTTTTCTACTTTCTTTTCCAACTGGTAAACAAGCCTGTTGTGCTTTTCATTAGCCCTGTTAGTCTTTTTCCATAGTACTTTCAGTTTCATATCCTCCTATCCCATAACAGAACAAGCAAGAAGATAGTCTGGTTTTGTTTGTTTGTTTCCAAGTGGTATGGAAACCTCATGTAATATATGCTACTGATGTAATTATGGTCTTTAACTAGAATAGTTATGGTCCCCCCTGGTTGATTACCAGCAGCAGTTTGAATACTAGCATAATTTAAATAAAATAAATAAATAAATAATTTGGATGTAGGTGTTTATGCTGGGAAGTTTTATTCAGTATGGCTGAAATCTATTTTATAGGATGCACCACGGTCACTTGCAGCAGAAGTTTCCACCATTGGATTTATGTCTAGCCACAATAAACTGCTGCTAAAGTAGCATCACATGGGACAAAAAAATCCAATAATCCTTTGAATGTTCTCATACTGAAAACTGTCTTTTTTTAAAACACTAATAGGATTTTGCATCTTTTAAAAATAATGGAAAGACCCCTATTGACTTTAGTGGCTTTTGGATGAGGCCCCATGTTTCTTTACCCACTGAATATGGTCCAGCACATTACAGATAGCTAATGGCCTGCTACAATCTGTTGTTCATCATGTGCTTACAAACGGCTGGCAGTCCTTTCCAGGGCAGTATCGAAGTTCTTAAGCTCTTCTATTTTGCTGCCCTCTGTTCTTATAGTTGCCTGTCTCCTTTACTTGCCTACCTTACTGTTTCCAGGGGAGTCCCCTTGGTGAATTGTAGCAGTAGGCTCTTTTACTCAGTTTAGAAGCAGCACAAGATTCAGTGGGGTTTAAAGGCAGATGGTGTGGCAGTTTGCAGAGACTGTTAAAGACCATTTCTGATCCCCAGTGTACCATAGTCCTTAGAGGAAAAGAGTCTGTTTTACAAAAGGAATCTCTTGCTCTCTTTTGGACGGTCTTTTGTTATTTCCATCATGTCTCCCACCCCCTACTGTTTCAATAGATGCTGATGACACTCTGAAGCAGTCTGCAGCATGGCTATTTTATATTTTCAAAGGAACTCCAACAACCCACCAAGTAATATTCATGTAACTTGTAGAAATGAATCTGAGATGCCATAGAGTAGATTTTTTTTTTTTTCCCCCCCGCTATCTGCATTGCATTATCAAAATGTAACATTTATATAGACTCCTGCTCAGGGCCGGCTCCAGGCACCAGCTGACCAAGCACGTGCTTGGGGCGGCACCTGGGGGCGGCGTGGCGCTCGGGGGGGCGGGGGCTTCAGGCGGCGCGGTGCTCGGAGGGGGGGCGGGGGGCTTTGGGCGGCGTGCTGCTCGGAGGGGGCGGGGGCTTCGGGCGGCGCGGTGCTCTGAGGGGGGGCGGGGCTTTGGGCCGGGCGGTGCTCTGAGGGGGGGGCGGGGCTTTGGGCGGCGCGGTGCTCGGAGGGGGGCGGGGCTTTGGGCGGCGTAGTGCTCGGAGGGGGGCGGGGCTTTGGGCGGCGTAGTGCTCGGAGGGGGGCGGGGATTTTGGCGGCACTCGCGGGGGGGTTACGGCAGGGCGGCGCTCTTCTTTTTTTGCCTGGGGTGGCAAAAAAGTTAGAGCCGGCCCTGCTCCTGCTTGTTATGTAAGTGAACTCTACTGGAAGATGGCAATCCAACTGTGATATCGAGACTTTACAGTTAAAATAGTATAGCTTTGCCAATAGGTTTAACATTTTTACTCACTACTGCTTCTAATATCAGAGGTTGAAGGCTTTTAACTGTTTGAGAATTATGGCTTCTCTTTCTCTCTCCCTCTCCTTAGGCACAACAAGTACCCCAAATGACTTGTGGTATAACATAATTGAATTGCCTTACCATGGCGAAAGCATCAGTATGTTGATTGCTCTGCCTACAGAAAGCACTACCCCTCTCTCTGCCATCATTCCTCACATCAGCACAAAAACAATACAGAGCTGGATGACAACCATGATACAAAAGAGAGTGCAAGTTATTTTACCCAAGTGAGTACTAATATCTTCCAGTCTCTTCTCCCCTCAATCCCCAAAATAAGGAATTCTTCTGTAGTCCTTCTCAGCACTTAAAGTAACTTTTAGTCGTAATTCTGATGTTTTTTCTATTTTATATGCTTCAATCAGGTTCACAGCAGTAGCAGAAACAGATTTAAAGGAGCCTCTGAAAGTACTTGGCATTACAGATATGTTTGAGCAGTCAAAGGCAAACTTTGCAAAAATAACAAGTAGGTTATCTTGTTTAAATTCTTCTTCTGGTTTTTGTTCACATTTTGTAGAACTACTGTTTTACAATTGCAATTATTAAAACAACCTGCTGCTTTGAAACTATTCCATCAAAAGGAAAACTTCTAAATTAACCACAAAAAGTTAACCATATGGTTAACCAATAAAATGTCATGAGGCATTTTCACAGTAACAGTCTTACATATTCTTCAATATTTTTCCTTTTGGCTTGCAAAAAAAAAATCATGTTGGATGAGACCATAATGGAAGATGTAATTGAGGCACTTGTTCTTTTACAATTTATATGTTTTATAAACTTTACATCAATGGATTTGAGAGAGCGGAAGGATGTCTGCCAAATTGATGGTAATGCTGAGTAAAAATGGAACGGTCATTGAACTGCATAACTGATCGATAAACGTTTTCCTCTTTCTGACAATGGAGCACTGATTTCTAAAAGAAAACTGGATGTCTTGTGTCTATGAATTTTATGTCCCCATCAGACTTCTGATTAGTTACTCCAAAAAAACCCATCCAAAACAAAAAGACCTCGCTTGTTAACACAACTCATTTATATCTCATATACACTTCTCCACTTGAAATAAGAGATTAAGTTCCTTTTTAGGGCTATCAAACGATTAAAAAAATTAGTCGCGATTAATTGCAGTTTTAATCACACTGTTAAACATTAACAGAATATCAATTGAAATTTATTATAAATATTTTTGGATGTTTTGTTACAACACAGAATACAAAGTGCTCACTTTACATTATTATTTTTATTACAAATATTTGCACTGTAATAAAAGTGCAATCTACAAGTCAAAGCATGAAAGGGCATACAAATGTATACCATATCTGGCACATAAATACCTTGTAATGCTGGCCACAACAGTGCCATGTGAATGCGTGGTCTCACTTTCAGGTGACATTTTAAATCAGTAGTGGGCAGCATTATCTCCCGTAAATGTAAGCAAACTTGTTTGTCTTAGCGATTGGCTGAACAAGAGGTAGGACTGAATGGACTTGTAGGCTGTAAAGTTTTATATGGTTTTTGAGTGCAGTTATGTTAAAAAAAATAAATAAATAAAATTCTACATTCGTAAGTAGCACTTTCATGATAGAGATTGCACTACAGTACTTGTATGAGGTGAACTGAAAAATATTATTTCTTTTGTTTGTTTTTTTTACAGTGAAAATATTTGTAATAAAAATAATATAAAGTGAGCACTATACACTTTGTATTCTGTTGTAATTGAAATCAATATATTTGAAAATGTAGAAACAAATATTTATAATGTATATTGGTATTGTTTAGCAGTGCAAGTAAAACTGATTAATCACGATTAATTTTTTAAATTGAGTTAATTTGTTTTGAGTTAATCACGTGAGTTTACTGCGATTGTCAGCCCTTGTTCCGTTATTTTATTGGAAGCAAGGTGTTCTACTTTAACAGTTTTTAAGACACTCAGGATGAATTTAAATTGCATTCCTGGTTACGTGTTGCTATAATTTCTGTATTTAAGAAAAAATTACTCTCTGATTACAAATTTTCAGTTTTACCTTTAAAACCACCAAATAAGCATAGCATTTAAGGATACCAGTAGTGTTTTTTTTTTTGTTTTTTTTTTGTTTTTTTTTTTTAAATGATTTGTATTGCATCTTCTTTGGGGTAAAATATGTCCCCTAGTCACCTAGACATTTTCTATCCTGTTTATTTTATTACTGTCATCATAAACATAATGCACTTAAGCAGTGAGTGAATTGTGCCACTGATTCCTGCATCACTAAATAAAGCCAGGGCAATAGATTCTGACTTTGGACATTGTCCATCACCATGTGTTTGTTTTAATATATACACATGCATGTGCAAACAACGCAATGGCATGTATACACAAATGCCATAGCTGACTTGCTTAGTGTGTTAGGGTGCTAATATGAATTTTTTCTGTGCTTTGGCCAACGTTTGTGTTAACTAATAGCAACATTGTGCCTGTGTTAATACTTCTCAATTTAACAACTGATCTACTATGGTGTTATAAGAAACAGTCATGCAGAAGTCCAGCTAATCCATTCCTTTACATGCAGCATATTGTTTGCTTTCTCTGCTTGGTGTCATCAGATTCACTGCTTCTGTAGTGGTCAGATCCAGCAACTGCATCGTAACAACAATAGAACAAAGTCCTCTTGCTTCCACAGTGATTTCAATCTTTGCTAGGATTGTCAGGTGTCTGGTTTTTGACCAGAACACCCAGTCGAAAAGGGACCCTGGCTGCTCCGGTCAGCACTGCTGACTGGGCTAATAAAAGTCCAGTGGGCGGTGCAGCGGGGCTAAGGTGTAGTTCTGTGCAGCTCCCCGAAGCAACGGCATGTCCCCACTCCAGCCCCTATGTGTAGGGGCAGCCAGGAGGCTCAGCATGCTGTCCCCGCACCAAGCGCCAGCTCTGCAGCTCCTATTGGCCAGGAACTGCGGTCAATGGGAGCTGCAGGGGCAGTGCCTGCAGACAGGGCAGTGCACAGAGCCACCTAGCTGCGCCTCCACATAGGAGCTGGAGGGCGGACATGCTGCTGCTGCTTCCAGGAGCTGATTGAGGTAAGTGCCGCCAGGAGCCTGCACCCCTGACCCTCCTACTCAGACCCCTGATCCTCCTCCCACCCTCTGACCCCCTCGGTCCCAGTCAGCTTTACGTACAGTATAACAAATGTATAACTGCATGTTGACACAAGTGCTGTTCTTGTTTTGGTCACACAGGAACGGAAAGCCTTCATGTATCTCATATTTTACAAAAAGCAAAAATTGAAGTTAGTGAAGATGGAACCAAAGCTTCTGCAGCAACAAGTAAGTAGTTCTCTCTCTCTCTCTCTCCCTGGTTTAATTTAATCCTTAATTAAAAGTAACTATGCTAAAACAAATTAATTCGATTTTATCAGAAATAGGAAATCTTTTGTGAGCGCTTAAATTGAGATCACTTCAGCAGAAGCGCATACTCAGAAAGGACAGTAAAAAAATCAAATGAATTTTACCATTGAGTTTTTGGAGGGGGGGTGTTAAGTGAATTTTGGGTCAATATAGAATTAGTTAAACATAGCCTTCCACAAATTGTAAACATGTCTCTTTACTCCGCTGGCTACATCAAGTGTAAAAACCGCATCAAGTGTAAAATCTAGTGGCCAAATCCTTGGCTCCTAATACGCCTCCTTGTGCTGTTCCAGAGGCACGCATTTATGCAACGCTACTCTAAGATGGCACCTGAGTTTTGCTGTAGGGGAACAATCTTGAATTTTGATGTTCATTATTAGTTCGTCCCTTTTTTTTATGGATTGTGTGGTTCTGGTGAGCAATATAAGAAGGCTAATTTGCAATAGATAGCATTGGATAAAATGGCCTCCTGTGGCTGACCCAGGCTGCCACTGGTAATATAAAACAATTGATAAACTGATGCATGTTGGTGAAATGGAATGCCTAAAGGAGCAGACAAATATCTAATGGAAATCATCTGTTTGATGCTTCATATTTGCACTGTTTATAGTGTGATCATGTTTGACTTGTTTAATTTTCCATCCTATTTTTCCTCTTCTTTCACTTTCTTTGGAAGCTGCAATTTTAATAGCCAGGTCCTCCCCTCCTTGGTTTATAGTAGACAGACCATTTGTATTTTTCATCCGGCACAATCCTACAGGTAAGCAATGTTTGTATTATTTTGCATGTAAGTTGAGTTCATACAGTATAATGGCTATGTGCAAACTGTAATTTGTAGGTGGGAAAGCTTGAAGCTGTCAGTAGGTGTTACTAAAACAAATACAAAATACGGTATGCTTCTGTATTGTGCTTTTAACTCCGTTTAAAATAAAGCAGAAGAACTGGAAAACCTACTCCACATGAGATCAGACTAGACTAGATGATCATGATGATCCCTTCTGACCTTAAAGTGTATGGGAGGGTCCTTGGGAGACTCTATATTTGTATACACTCCAAACTCACCTAAAAACAAATAGTTTGTTAATTTACAATTCCCCTAACCAAAACAAAGCAAGCTCATGGAGTGTGAAACAGCCTTCTTACCTAGATTTTATTTGAACACATTCTGTAAATGTTGTATTTTTCAGTGAATGCTCTACAATACTTATAAATTGGATATATGTAGTAATATTGGTCTTTATTTTATCCCTCAGGTGCAGTCTTGTTTATGGGACAAATAAACAAACCTTGAGTATGGAAAAGGTTTTCCTTAAGAAGCAAAGTAGAGACTCATTTGATACATCCTCGCTAGTTCCGTTAAATATTTTTGTACACTACTCTTTCACTTCACTCAAGAACTAGTTTTTAGCCAGCTGTGACTAGATTTTGAAAAAGGAGTCAATGTAGTTCTGATTTTATGGGAAAATACAAATTGAAAACTACGATACCTTTTCAAAATGTCTGAAAGATTCTTTGAAACTACTGAACGGTTGCCTATGCTAACAAACTTACTGAGCTTTTTCTGTCCTAAGAATTGTATGCATAGCTTTTGTGGGAGGGTTTTAACAAGACCATGACTAAACAAACCATTTCTGTTAGCATTGATTTTTTTTTTCTGTGGAAAATGTCTTTGGGTTTGTAGATGTCCCTTCAATACTATTTTTGCCCTTGAATGGCTTGATGATTGGGTATCTTTTGTGGAACTCTCTAGCAGTTTATTTTATATAATGCATGTACCACTGAGGTAAAGTTTTAAAGAACTAATGTCTTGATAGATAACACATTTGCATTGACATCCTATTTTACTGTAATGTAAACTTGTCATTGCTAGTATTCACTTTGTATTGGATTTAAATTTTATATTTGTTTTTTGTACAAAGGAAAAAATAAAGTGCATTATGAACAGTCAGATGCCAAGGTATCACAGCGATGTGCTGGTGAGTATTTGTGGGCAGGACTCCTGGGAGCCACTTGTTAAAATTCTACCACCAACTGAAAGGACAGTTTTCTTGATTTTCCCCTATCCTGATGGAGCTAAGTCTCTCTGCAATCTGCTAAACCAGTCCTGCTGTGGATGACTTATCCCTAAGGCTTCAAAAATGTTTGAAGAGCAAATATTTTGTCTTTGCAGTGCCCCAAATTGCACCTAGTGGCAGGTGTTTTCAAAAATGTACCTGAGGAGGAGATCTCAGCCCTCCCCCACCTCCCCAAGGTCCTTTCCCACACTTCAAAGGATGCAAGTTAAACAGTATTATTATCAACACCTGGAGGATATCGTTTAGGAACAGAGTGTATCAGCAAAGTGTTCTAAGGAAGAGCACTTGATGGGTTTGCTTTCACTGAGTTGCCTTCCTACTTGTTTGAGAGCATTTTTGTGTAATTAGTCAGGGGTGGGGCTGGAGGTATGGAAAGAGCAGATTCTTGAGTCCCTCATATCACCTCTCTGAGCAAATGTATCTCTGTGACATGGGGTCTGCTCTGCTGCAAGGCAACAGAGACTTAAAGTGTGGATAAAATGCTCCCATTCTGTTTCAGTAGAGTCCTACACACATTGTGCATTGGCGTAACTGTCTGTCTGCATAAGATGCAGAGTGATGGAGAATTGAGCCCATTGTGTTTATCACAAGCCTAAGAGTATTTAAAACGTATGTGAACTAGTATGTTAACTTAGCAGTAGAAGAAAATGACAGTTCCACATAACAAGCACATCTGCATCTGTCCAGGATTTAAATTATCACCAGTATGAGATAATCAGGACTGGTTCTCATTAAAATAAGCTGTCAACATTGATACCCTCTTATTTGCAATAGCAGGAATAAAGGAAATCTGATCATTTATGTCTAGAAAATGGTGGTGATTTTCAGGAGATCTTATGCAGAGGAGTCATACCTATGTAGGGAAGTAGCACTACATGCTCTGATGCTGTGTGGCAGACAATGGATAATAAAGCTTGTAACTTCTGAGAGCCCCCTTAAAGAAGAACACAAGAAATTTAATAAAGCACTGCTGGCATAGTCAGTAGCATTTGTAACCCTTCTGCCAACATGGGCCATGTTCTCTCCCACACCAAGATATGTTCAGCACAGGAGGTAAGAAGGGGCCCTCAGAGAGCCGTTGTAGCTCCCTGACTCTGAAGCTGTTAGTCTCACTCTTTGGCAGGGACCTGTGTTTCTCGGGTGGAGAGAGGGGGCAAGGAGTGCTCTGATATTTTAGTCCCTATATACTGCAGTGAGGCAGACCTGTTTTCAAACCTGTATGTCAGTACAGCTCTCAAAGCAGCTAACTAGGCTCAGCCCCAAGCGCCACTGAACCTTGACTCCCGTGTGGTTCTCTTTTTGTGTACATTAAGGGCAGTAAACCAGAGGGCCTGAATGAAGCTGAGCTGCCTCTTAAGAGAGTGCCCTTCCCTTGCTCACCTCTTAATTCACCACAGATATTGGGAGGAGGAAGATCTTGCCACTGCTTGTCCTGTGATGGTAGATAACTCCTGGAAGAAGCCAGATCTCCTTGCCTACAACCCCCAAAGAAGTTGAGGGGGAAGTCAGTAGGAACCAGATCCTCTTCCCTATCATTATTATTATTATTTTAATAAAAAAGGGTTGGAAGGGACCTCAGAAGGTCATTTAGTCCAAACCCTTGCTCAAAGCAGGACCAATTTCCAGGCAGATCTTTACCCCAGTTCCCTAAATGGCCCCCTCAAGGATTGAACTGACAACCCTGGGTTTAGCAGGCTAATACTCAAACCACTGAGCTATCCCTCCCCCTCTCTGTCCATGATGCACTGAATTACAGGAGCTGGGTCTAGCTACTCCAGATGCCTAGTTGTGTAACTGATCCTCATTTGTTGTTGCATTGGTGAACCTTCCTGGCCAGTAAGTCTCACCTCCATTAGACTCAGCCTAAAGGTAAGGATGGAAATAGGGAGCCTGGGCACAGAGGGGAGCCAGATGAGGCTCACGTGTGTTAGCTGCTTAAGTGGAAAAATTGAATTCGAAGCCCTTTTAACACCCACAAATGTAAGTTAGCTCTGCTCTTACTTGTGGGACTTTCCAATTTTTCCAGGATCTGACTAGAACAGGGTTAGCCAACCTGTGGCTCTGGAGCCACATGCGGCTCTTCAGAAGTTAATCTGAAGCTCCTTGTATAGGCACCAACTCTGGGATTGGAGCTACAGGCATCAACTTTCCAATGTGCCGGCAAGTGCTCACTGCTCAACCCCTGATTCTGCCACAGGCCCTGTTCCCACTCCACCCCTTCCCGCCCCCTCCCCTGAGCCTGCTATACCCTCGCCCCTCCCCCTCTAAGCCTCCTGCATGCCACAAAACAGCTGATTGGGAGGTGCAGGGAGGGAGGGAGTGGGGCTGCCGGTGGACGGGAGGAGGCGGGGGGGAGGGAGGGTGGCTGCTGACATATATTACTGTGGCTCTTTTGCAATGTACATTGGTAAATTTTGGCTCAGTCTCAGGGTGGCCACCCCGGACTAGAAAATAAAAGGTTGGTCAAAAATTTCCATCAGAACAGTTTTTCAGCTATAAATGTGGTTTTCAGATAAACATTTTTTTTTTCAAAATGTCTGCTTACTGCAGAAAACTTAAATTTTTTGGTTAAAAAAACTAGAAGCCTGAAATCCAAATTGAAATATTTTGGTTATGTACCATTATGTCCCTGTCTCTGTTCTCCTCTATGGACTAGGCTCCCTCGCTGGACTACATCTTCCGTGATGAACTGCTTCCCCTTCCCATAAAGGATCATGGTGCAGTGTGAGAGAGGTAGTCCAGCTTGGGAATTGGACCTTTAAAGGAAAATGGAATCATGACACACCCATTCTAAAATTCCCTTGAGCGATTGCAGTAGCATTTCTGAATTGAAATATTTGCATTTTAGATATTATTCTTCGAGTGATTGCTCATGTGCATTCCACAATAGGGGTGTGTGCTCGCCACATGCACCGGTGCCAGAAGTTTTTCCCCTAGCAATACCCGTAGGGGGACTCTAAGACCCACCAGGAACTGTTGAAAAGGGTGGCATCAAGCCTCAACCTTCAAGCCGAGGAGGTGGAGGAACCCTCAGACTCCCTCTTCAATGTTCTCTCAGCCTCGGCACGGCGCAGAGTGGCTCTCCCACTCCATGAAGGGGTGGTAAAGATTTTGAACGCCTTATGGTAAACCCAGGCTTCCTTGCCCCCCATCTCTAAGAGGGTGGAACGGAAGTACTTCGTCCCCACCAAGAGGCATGAATACCTGTATACCTACCCTGCCCCCAACTCTCTAGTGGTTGAGTCAGTCAACCACAGGGGGACGCAGGGCCCTACTCTGAAAAATAAAGACTCAAGGAAGTTGGACCTATTTGGGGGAGAGGTTTATTTGTTCTCAAGTTTCCAGTTAAGGGTGGCAAACCACCAAGCCTCCTGGGGAGGTATGAGTTCAATTTGTGGGGTTCTCTGCCCAAAGTCAAGGGCTCCCTCTAAGAGCATGACAAGAAGCAGTTCAAGGCTCTGGGGGAGGAGGGCCCAGTGGCTGCCAGGGCAACCCTTCAGGCAGTGTCAGATGCTGTGGATACGGCGGCAAGATCTATAGCCTCCGCGGTGTCCATGAGGAAGGGATTATGGCTCCTGCTGTTTGGGCTGGACCTTGCAGGACCTTCTGTTCAATGGCAAGGCCCTGTTTACAGAACAGATGGACGTGAAATTGCACAGCCTGAAAGATTCCCTCACAATGCTGAAGACTCTGGGCCTCTATGTCCCAGCTCCGGCAACGACCAAGTTTAAGCCACAAGAGGCTCCTACCCAGGACATCCACTCTAAATATAAGCCCCCTTATAAAAAGTTGCAGTACTATAGGAAACACCCACAGAGGCAGTCCTAGTCTGCCCCCCAACCTGGGCCTTCCAAGGGCAAACAGGTGGGAAAATGTCAGTTTGGACGGGAGGCCCAGGGGCAACTTACCAGTTCATACCAGGGATCCATCCACAATAAAGCTTCCCTTCTCCAACCGGTTATGTGCTTTTTCTACCTGAGTAGTCGCAGCAGACCTTGGACCGATGGGTCCTCAACACCCTCTCCTGGGGCTACATCCTCCAGTTTACCTCTACCCCACCCTCTGCCCCCATCCCTCCTGAGGGACCCCTCTCATGAGACCCTGCTCAGGCAGGAGCTGGGGTGGCTCCTTGGCCTAGGAGCAGTGGAATTGGTGCCAACGGAGTTCAGACACAAAGGTTTCTACTCCCACTACTTCCTTATCCCAAAGGCGGGCTCAGGCCCATCCTGGACCTGCGAGGCCTTAACCAGTACATGGTAAAGCTCAAGTTTCGCATGGTCTCTCTGGCCTCCATCATCTTCTCCCTGAATTCTGGGGACTGGTACGCCACCCTTGATCTGCAGGATGCGTACTTCCACATTCATATATTCAAGGGGCACAGACGTTTCCTCCATTTCACGGTTGGGCAGGAACAGTACCAATTTACAGTCCTCCCATTTAGCCTGTCCACTGCTCCCGGGGTATTCACAAAGTGCATGTCTGTGGTGGCAGTGTACCTCAGATGTCATGGAGTTCAGATCTTCTATCTTGACGACTGGCTGGTCAAGGGCAGCTCCAGGTCGCAGGTGCGGGATCACGTGGTGCGCCTCCTGTCTACGTGCGCCACTCTGGGCCTGTTAGTAAATGACACTGAGTCCATGTTAGTCCTGGTGCAGTGCATAGA